TTTTTTAAATAATTTAAGAATTTTTTTAATCATCCCCATTTATTAAGATATTAGCACATATCTTTACATCAAAAGAAAGCTTGAAATCTTTTCTACAATTTTCTCGATATATATCGGTACCATTATATCGATGGATTTATGAAATAACGGCACTTTCATCAAAAACTCTATATAAAAAATACTTTTTGTGGAATTTGTTCTCAAAGGGTTAATAAATGTCATATTATATATCTTTGAAAGGGTATTTCAAAGCTCTTTCTAACGATATATATATTGTCAGGATCGGTTCATAATTAGAGAAGATATTGAATATATATAAATTTTACTTTGATGGTCTATAACTCCAAAACTATACATTTGGTGACCAAAAGACAAATATCTCAAGTCATAGAATTGAAAGCTTTATATGTGGTATACATTTTTTCATAATCGGAGAGTTATACCTATAATATATTTAAGCCAAGTTTTACTTAACTTCAGGCACTCACTTAAATTTTGCAAATTAATCTGTCGGAATATAATTTTTCGTTTGAAACAAACATTATTTAATTCAGAATATATTTTCCTCACAAATTTTAATATCTTTATTTTTTTAATAAAATATAAACATTTTATAAAAATTTTTCATCAAATGAATTCGGCGTACTTATGGTTTTTGACATCTACGTAAACCAAATACAAAAACAAAATACATGTAAATTTTGTATATTTTATTAAAAATAAAGATAAAGATATTAAAATTTGTGAAGAAAATATATTCTGAATTGAATAATGTTTGTTTCAAACGAAAAATTCTATTCCGGCAGATTAATTTGCAAAATTTATGTGAGTGCCTGAAGTTAAGTAAAACTTAATTTTTTGTGAAAAATAAACATAAAAAAGTACATATTCATGAAAATATTATATTACGAATGAATGAATATTTGTTGCGAATGGATAATTCTACTCCGGCGGAGTAATTTTCAATATTTGGCCATAATGTAGCAGCCGCCGGACGAGTAAATACTTCATATTGGCTTTGTTATATAAAGCGTTCCGGAACAGACTTTTTTTAGTTAATCTCTTTATCTACATAGTGCATATATAAAACAATATTGTTTAATTTGTTAACATTTAATAGATTTCAAAATTAAGCCATATGTAAAAGTAAGCTGCCGCTGTTCGGCTAAATTCTTCATATGTGTTTCTTTATATAAAGTGTTCCGGAAGAGATTTTTTTAGTTAATCACGTTATCTACACAATGTTAATATAAAATATAAAACAATATTGTTTAATATGTTAACATTTAATAGAAAAAAATATTTTTCCTAAATAACATATTTGTATACGTACTAATTATACCATTATTTAAATAAAATGATATTTGTTTACGAGATGCTTGGTATTTTTAGATATTTTACATAAATAATTCAAAATAGTAACGAAGTTTTTCTCCGTTTAACGGAAATTTTTATATATAAAATGTAAACAATAACAAACTTTGACAGCTACGTAAACCAAGTTATATTAATTTTATAAGGTAGTATCATCGGCAAATTCAGAATACTAAGCGAATTGGCTATATTAGCTGTAAGAGAAAATTTTCAAAAACAGCAGACGTATAAATCAAAGCGAATTTATATTAAACAAAAAATGTTTATAAATTTGAATCTATTTATAATGTATTTTGATGTTTAAACTTTTAAAGATTAAAAACACAAAAATATACCCTAATCACACAATTTCACTTTATTCACAAAATTCACATATACAAAATGAAACCAGTTTGACATTAACAAAATGAAAAAAAGTTTGACATTGACAAAATGTAAACAAAGTTTGACATTAATTATACACCACGGCGAAAAATAAACATAATAGCAAAAAACGATCAGCTGTTCTGATAACACTACCTTATAATTAATATATATTGACATAAACCAGGCGAATTAAGAAAAATATTATCAGCTGATTGAATAACACCAATGTATATTAATTATAAGGTAGTGTTAACAGAGCAGCTGATTATTTTTTGCTAATACACTTTTGATTTTTTTTATATGTAGTTTGACAGTGTGCTGGCACTTTGAAGTGTAGGCATGCTGTCAAACTCCATATATAAAAAATAAAATGAATTCGCTCCGTATATCTGAATTCGCCGACGACACTACCTTATAATTAATATATCTTGGAATAACACCACCCATGGCGAAACTAATAAGGTGAAGTCACTTCAACAGCTGATTGTTTTTTTTGTCCATGGAAATTTAGCCCGAAGTTGTCAAACTCAATATAAAAAAATTCTCTCTCAAACCCGACGCTGTCAAACTACATATATAAAAAATTTCATGAATTCGCCGCAAAATGAAATGACTTCACCTCATAGTCTATTCGCCTTGACACCACCTTATCTGCATTCGTCTTGGCGCGAACCAAATGCAAAAACAATTACTTGGAACACTTTGTTGTTGCCCAAGGCGAATTCATATAAGGTGGTGTTATTCAATCAGCTGATAATATTTTTCTTAATTCGCCTGGTTTACGTAGCTGTCAAAGTTTGTTATTGTTTACATTTTTATATTTAAAAATGTCCGTTAAACGGAGAAAAACTTCGTTAATATTTTGAATTATTTATGTAAAAAATCTGAAAATACCAAGCATCTCGTAAACAAATATCATTTTATTTAAATAATGGCATAATTGATATGTATACAAATATGTTATTTAAGAAAAATATTTTTTTCTATTAAATGTTAAAATATTACACAATATTGTTTTATATTTTATATTAAAATTGTGTAGATAACGTGATTAACTAAAAAAAATCCCTTCCGGAACACTTAATATTAAGAAACGCATATGAAGTATTTACCCGGCTGGCGGAAGCTGACTTCTAAGTTATGGCTTAATCTGGAAATCTATTAAATGTTAACAAATTAAACAATATTGTTTTATATATACACCATTTAGATAAAGAGATTAACTAAAAAAAGTCTGTTCCGAAACGCTTTATGTAACAAAACCCATATGAGGTATTTACCCGTCCATTCGCAACAAATTATAATATTTTCATGAATATGTACTTTTTTATGTTTATTTTTCACAAAAAATTAGGTTTTACCATGGTATAAAGAAAACAAGGTAACTCCGTTCTCTCTTAATGAAAGATTTTTTGACGTAAATAAGATTTTTTGATATTTAGTTTTTGTAAACAAATAAATAAAAACGTTGCCACACAGATTAAAAGGGAAATTATATTTAGGAAATCAGTACTTCGTTTCTGTAATTTTCTCGAATCGAGAAAAAACTTAAAATATAATAGTCTTCCAGTTTTTAACAGTGTGACTCAGATTATTTTTAAACTGTACTTATTAAAATTTAATAAGAATTTCTTAAATTTCTTGTATTCACCCTGTTTTACACAAGATGATCATGAATTTTTCGACAGATTTTCTCGATGCGAGTATTACAGAAACGGGGCTCAGAATTAAAATATGTGTAATTTTGTTTACTACAAAAGTGTAACTGTTGTGAATTGCAAATATAAACGATTATAAATACGTTTTAATAAATGTTTTATTATTGTTTTATATTTTTATATAAACTAACACTTTACAAAGAACGAATGAAGGTGATTAACCATAAATTCGCTGGAATTTCTTCTACTCAATGGTAATTTCTTGGTGGCGTATCATAATGTCCAGTAACACAATGTCAATGGACATTATGACACTTTTAAAAAAGAAAAGTTTTGGAAATTTTATTTAGATTTAAAGAAAGGGACACTGTCATCCCGAAAAGAGTTGCTCCTAAATTTGATGTATGTTGCATTTTGGATTGGATTAAAAAAGTGTCCTCGTAAGGGGGTTTTAAATTCTAGGGTATTTCGAATACCAGCTTCGCTATATTAAGACATTTTTGATAAATCTACTTTTTTATGTCCTTTTGCTCGTAGACATTGTGACACTTTTAAAATTGTCAACGTCCAAGGACACTATGACTTAATTTAGTGTGTCATATCGTCCATGGACATTATGACACGCCAACTGACTATTTTAACATGGCGATGTCCTACGCAGTAGTCAATTGTCCGACTCTGCATGACTTTTCAACTAGCTTAAAGTTAGTTACTAAAAAATTAGCTTAAAGGTAACTCTTTATTAACTAACTTAAAGTTAGTTGCAAAAAAATCAAGTAATAGTTTTCTTTTGTATTCCCTACTGTATTAATTAATTACATTTTAATTAAATATATTTAAAATTTAACTACTAGTTATCTAAATTACATTTTGCTTTAATACAAGTTATGATATTAGTTCGTTAAAATTAATAGACATCAGTTTTCTGCAGGGGAACTAATAATAACACCGGTATCCATAAAATTATGAATGATTTGTACATTATTTCCAAGAAAATGACAAAAATGTAAAACAAAATTCCAATTAATAAAGAAACATGAGAAAACATGTCGAAACAAAATGCTCTCCAGATAATTTTGGGGTACTCCCGCATTATATGATAGTTAGCTTGTAGCTAGTATTTAAAAGTCGGTTGTTTACGTTAATAAATACCAAATTTTGGAACATTTCTGCATTACATTGTTGTTGGTTTGTAGTCAGTTTACTAAAGTTAACAAATAAAATCATAATAATAGAGAAGAGAAAACATGTTGAAATACAATTAATTCTCTCCAGATAATTTTGAGGCACTTCTACATTACATTATAGTTAGTTTGTAGTTTGTATTTAAAAGTCGGTTCTTTACGTTGCCAAATACAAAATTTCAGGACAGCTCTGCATTACATTGTAGTTAGCTTATAGTCAGTCTGTAAAAGTAAACTAGAAGTGAATTTTTCTCGTAGTCGACTACAAAATTGCTGGCAGGGAAAATACATGTAAAATGTTGTTGTTGCATAACTGCCACCACCTTATCTGAATTCGCCTTGGTTGTTGCCGAACAGCCACCGCCTTATCTGAATTCGCCTTGCTTTGACAGTTTGTTGGTACTTTTAAATGCCGGTATACTGTCAAACTCCTTATAATAAAATATATTGCACTCCAACGACACTATCTTTTAATAAATTAAGCTTGGCTCTAAACTGCTTTTGTTTATTGAAATTCCATTTCATTAAAGTCTAGTATAGTGTGTCAAATGTATAGTGGAAGCGATTCGTACAGTAAAATTTCTTATTTCTAAAAAATGTATATTATCCTGCATTAAAAGAAGGCAAGTTATTTGTTTATAGAGATATTTTATTTATCCATTGGTAATAATGCTAAATAAATTTCAAAAAAGTAAAATTGATAACGCTACGGTCTTTCTATGCATTTTTCGGATTTAAATAGAGATTTATCTTGTTAAAATATAAAATTATAGTTTAATGGATATAACTCAAAAATATAAATGAACTGATTTCATGAGTTCAAAATCAAGTTAACTTTTTGCTAACTTATTTATATCTAGCTTCAAAGCTAACTTAAAACTCGTAATATCTCAATTTTTATCAAGAAAAACTAAATTATGAAAATTTGTATTATCAATGAAAAATGAATTTATTTTTAAAAATAATGTTTGATAAAAAATATAAGAAACTGCACAGGTAAGCTAACTCATATGATAACTTCCGGCTAACTGAAACTGATGTAAAGTGAGAGTCTGACTTGTTCCTATGACATTACATTGAAAAACTGAATAGGGTTTAATAAGCAAAATGGTTAGCTTTTGAGTCACTTCTAGAGTATTCAAAAACCGAAATCGGTTAACTGGTTTTTTCCTTGTTTGAAAAACGACCGGTTTCAAATACTTCATATTTTCGAATTATTCAACGGTTGACCGTTTTTTATGGATGATATTTTCTTGAAATTTTTGAAAGATGAAATTTTATAAAAAATTACAACTTTTATATAGGTACATACAGTGAATCAACTAAGTTTTTTGCCTACCTTTTTTTAAGGGAATTTTGTTTTTTGTTCATAAATAAAATTCCAAAAAACAGGTAAAAAGTAAATATATGGTTTCCAATTGAAAATAGAGATTGTGTAGAATGGGAAAACCAAGAAAAAATGTTAAAATAAAAATTTTGGTGCATTTGTTGTTGCATTTTATTATTTTTCATCATAATTTGCACGTCAATAAAGTATTTTGCATATTGAAAGTTCCAGTTAATTTCGTTGGGTTTTTCAAATTATTTTTTAATTGCTTTTTGGAATTTATTGTTTTATTGTTAAAAGGACACGTGTTAAGTATTTTTCAATTGTAATTTTCAAAAATCATATCCTCATTGTGTGAAACTGTGTAGTTATTTGCGTTAAAAATGTTTAAAAGGAAATAATGAGGCAATTCCAATATAAAAAACTAGTTTAGATTTTTAGGATAAATATAAATCAATGAAATTCAATTATGTGAAGGTTAATCAATCATTAAAAAATATAAAATATAGAAATTGATGAAATAACACAAAGAATTATTAAAAAAACACACTGAGTTGTCATTCAAAATCTTTAACTGCCAAAGGAGAGCGACTTGTATTCAAGCAAAAACCATTGAAGTCCTCATTTATCTTCTCCAAAGTCCATATACGAACTTAAAAGAACACTATGTATAAATTTTGACCTCTAAACAGAACTTAGGTTGCTTCGAAACAATATAAAGTGAACTATCGTGTGGTACGGGAAAAATACTTAATTTAGATATTTACAAATAGAGGCGGTTCTCATCACCTAAGATCCACAAAAGCAATATTTTTCAACTAATACATACACTTATATATAGTTAGAACCCAAATCAAGAATAACTATCCAAATCCAACTACGCCCACTGTATTTTATTCATAAAATAATGCATTCAAAATATGAGGTAGAATATCAAGATTCTAGCATGTAATAGTTCTATAGTGGTATACGGTGATATCCCCATACTTAGAGTGGCTAGGACGGTACTTAGTGTTAGCTTTATTGAATAAGAATCAATATTACACAATTCTAAATGAAATTCACACAGTACTCCCCAAATAGATGGGGTTTCCGTAATGTAGTTTTTGTTTGTCAATACAATATGACCAAAAACCCAGATTATTTTTGTTATAATCTATACATTTATACCCCACTAAAAATTTTTTCTATGTCCAAATCCATTGATTTCCTAATATATCATGTATCCAATTCAAAATTACTTATTATTCTCGAAATTAAATCAAAGAAGTCAAATATTGAGAAATTCTTATAGGTATATAGGATAATAAATCGGTTAAGAAATGTCCAAACTTAGTCGTTCCACTACTAAAATATCTAAAAAGTGTCATTCTAAAACATAGGAGTAATAAAAATATTAAATTTTATAAAATAATGCAGAAATATTAAAAAAATTAACAAAAAACCTAAAAAGCAAAATACTTTATTGACCTTAAAAATTAACAATACGTTCACATTTGATCAAAAATCTCGTTAATTAATATCACGATTTTACTTTTTATGGTATTTTATTAAAATATAAGACAAATTGCTTTATTTTGCTAAAAATAATTGTTCAGACAAAGTTTTTTCTTAAAATTTATAAAATTTTACATAGGCAAATTACTTAATTGATTCACTGTATGTATTTTGTTGTTAATCTTACTAGAGAAATGCAAAAATCAATTTTTTCATTATTTAAACAAAGAAAAAACAATTTGAATTGTTGTACCTACACAGAAAAAATTAATACATAACTTGAATGAATTTTGTAATAAATTGAATGAATCGAACATGACTTTTTTTCCCAAACCATTTTCATTCAGAATATTAAAAGTTCATAAAATGTATGAATTTGTACATTAAAGATTTTTTTTGTTTTTTTGCTCATTTTTTTGATTTTCATAAAAAATTGGAATAAATATCCGCGTTACCTATTAATATCTTCCATTTTTTAGAAAATATTCACATATTAGCGAATTTTTATGATAAATAAATAAAATGTTGGAAAACAAAATATGAAATAAAAAACATCAGCATATAGCTAAACATCCATTCTTCAGAAAATGCTGCATGTTACGCGCATATTTCATTGTTTTCAATCTAAAAATCATAAAGAAATAAAAAATTTTCCAAAGAAAATTTCAAACATAAAGAAAATTTTTAATATTTTAAGTCAAGGCTTCTAGATTATGTTTAAAAATATAAAAATGAAAAAATTCATACAATTTAGGAACTTATTCTTAAATATTATTAACTTTAGTCAATGAAAGCAGTTCATAATATTTATGCTGGAACTTTTTTCTGTGTATATTCAAACACAATATTTTATTCACATACATATTTGAATGAAAAAAATATGTATGGTTTTGAATAAAATCAGAACATTTAAAAATGGAATGATTATAATCAGAACGTTATGATTATACTGATTAATGTGCATTTTAGGTACATGGACATGAAAAAAACTACTTTTAAAAATGTCAAATGACCAATATTAAGTGTTGAACATTATCGACACAGCGGTAGATTTCAATATTAACCAAATTATTGGCAATTATAAGCAATATAGAGTTATTTTTGCAATTTAAGAGTCAAGCAGAAGAGAAAGGGCGTTATGGTGAATGGAATTACTAAAGATGTCCAACTAATTTCATACATCTATGGTTTCGTAAAGCTTTCAAAGTTTTTCATAAATATTTGAGCAATAAATCACACACATTGATTGTTGCCTTTTTGAGTTTTATTTCTAATCAAAAAAAATAATTTTTGAGTCGATCGAATAAACACTTAAATTAATGAGAATGAATTGAGCAATGATTTTATTTATAAATCAAACCAAAATGTACAAATTTGATTTATTTAAAAACATTCGATTTTTTTTGTTGAAACAATTTTGAACAATTGAATAAAAATACACAAAAATACAATAAGGGTTTTCATTTAAACGTTCAAAACCAAAAAATAATAAGAAGTTGGACTATGTCATTGTTTTACAACAATAACATATCCCTCTCCACACAGACGACTTCTGTGTGAATTCAACACACTGGTGAAAGTCCGATTCTCTCACAATACTACAAAACTTTTTCGCGAAAATATGAAGATAATTTACCTTCTTACACCTTTTCTTACACACACAACACATTTTTTAATTTTTTTTTCCACATTTTTACACCGTTAAATAGCCCGATTAAAAATCTGTGAACGTATAAATTTAAATGTTTTATATTTTTCCTAAAATTTTTAAGTACGTTTTTATGCAACTATGTAGGTTTTGATTCAGTGGTGAAAGTGGTTGGAGCTACAATACTTATACAAAAATTCTACCAATACATTCTTAGAGTTAAGTACCGAATGACAACTCCTTTAGGTACCAACTGACAAGCCCCAATTTCTTTATATTCTTTGTTCAAAACCCTCGTAAACTGTGCAACCTATGCATGTTTTCATTCTCGCAATTGAATTGTATGGAAATTGATTTGTACAACCCTTATAAGTTTGAGCGACTATTTAGACTGGCAAACTTGAGCAAACTCAATGTGCATTTAATAAAACTGTTCACTATTGTTCACTTTTTAATTTATGGACTTGAATATTCACATTTTTAACATATTTTGTACAATTTTTTGTTAAAATAATTTATTTTTATTTTTTCGATTTCGTTTGACATTGTTTTAAAATGTTTATAAATATTGCAATTGAAGAGAATTTGAATAGGGGTTTCATGAAACAAGTCGAATAACCTTGCCTACTTGCACAAATGGGAAACTTAAGCGTTTAAATGAAAACCCTAAATCATTTTTAAGGTGTGAGTATTTTTCAATCACCCATTGCAGTTCTCTGTTGCCTACATTTATTGTCTAATATTATAAACACTTTTGTATAGATTGCTAAATTGATAAATCAACAAAGTCTAGTTTTTACTGAAAACTTTTCAGGAGAACAAAAAAAGCTGTTTAATTCGTGAAATATTCCTCAAAAAGAAAATGTTTCCTCAATAATAATAATTCGTTTTTAACAACGTTATTACGTTACGTTATTTGTACAAGAAGACAAATATTTGTTCCAAGCTAGCATGTTCCAAGCTAGAATGGAATAAAAATTCCTAGAATAGTATGCGTTATTTTATCATTTTATGATTTTTTTTGCTTAAAAGTGTTATAAGTCAATCTTTTTAGTCCATTAAGATGCATTTACACTATTTAAGAAGGAAAAATCATGGCATATCTGCTTGTTTACTATTTCCTATCATCAATAAAAATATTTTAAATTGTT